CTGACACTCTGACACTCTGATGCTCTGACGCTCTGACGCTGCTCTGACACTCTGACGCTGCTCTGACACTCTGACGCTGCTCTGACACTCTGACGCTGCTCTGACGCTCTGACGCTCTGACGCTCTGACGCTCTGACGCTGCTCTGACGCTGCTCTGACGCTCTGACGCTCTGACGCTCTGACTCTCTGACGCTCTGACGCTGCTCTGACGCTCTGACGCTGCTCTGACGCTCTGACGCTGCTCTGACGCTCTGACGCTCTGACGCTCTGACGCTCTGACGCTCTGACGCTGCTCTGACGCTCTGACGCTGCTCTGACGCTCTGACGCTGCTCTGACGCTCTGACGCTCTGACGCTGCTCTGACGCTCTGACGCTGCTCTGACGCTCTGACGCTGCTCTGACGCTCTGACGCTCTGACGCTGCTCTGACACTCTGATGCTCTGACGCTCTGACGCTCTGACGCTCTGACGCTCTGACGCTCTGACGCTGCTCTGACACTCTGACGCTGCTCTGACGCTCTGACACTCTGACGCTGCTCTGACGCTGCTCTGACGCTCTGACGCTGCTCTGACGCTCTGACGCTCTGACGCTCTGACGCTCTGACGCTCTGACGCTCTGATGCTCTGACGCTCTGACGCTCTGACGCTGCTCTGACGCTCTGACGCTCTGACGCTCTGACGCTCTGACGCTCTGACGCTCTGATGCTCTGACGCTCTGACGCTCTGATGCTCTGACGCTCTGACGCTCTGACGCTGCTCTGACGCTCTGACGCTCTGACGCTCTGACGCTCTGACGCTCTGACGCTCTGATGCTCTGACGCTCTGACGCTCTGACGCTGCTCTGACGCTCTGACGCTCTGACGCTGCTCTGACACTCTGACGCTGCTCTGACACTCTGACGCTGCTCTGACGCTCTGACACTCTGACGCTGCTCTGACGCTCTGACGCTGCTCTGACACTCTGACGCTGCTCTGACGCTCTGACGCTGCTCTGACGCTCTGACGCTGCTCTGACACTCTGACGCTGCTCTGACGCTCTGACGCTCTGACGCTCTGACGCTCTGACGCTGCTCTGACGCTGCTCTGACACTCTGACGCTCTGACGCTCTGACGCTCTGACGCTCTGACGCTGCTCTGACGCTCTGACGCTGCTCTGACGCTCTGACGCTGCTCTGACGCTCTGACGCTGCTCTGACGCTCTGACGCTCTGACGCTGCTCTGATGCTCTGACGCTCTGACGCTCTGACGCTCTGACGCTGCTCTGACGCTCTGACGCTGCTCTGACGCTCTGACGCTGCTCTGACGCTCTGACGCTGCTCTGACGCTCTGACGCTCTGACGCTGCTCTGACACTCTGATGCTCTGACGCTCTGACGCTCTGACGCTCTGACGCTCTGACGCTCTGACGCTGCTCTGACACTCTGACGCTGCTCTGACGCTCTGACACTCTGACGCTGCTCTGACGCTGCTCTGACGCTCTGACGCTGCTCTGACGCTCTGACGCTCTGACGCTCTGACGCTCTGACGCTCTGACGCTCTGATGCTCTGACGCTCTGACGCTCTGACGCTCTGACGCTCTGACGCTCTGACGCTCTGACGCTCTGATGCTCTGACGCTCTGACGCTCTGACGCTCTGACGCTGCTCTGACGCTCTGACGCTCTGACGCTCTGACGCTGCTCTGACGCTCTGACGCTGCTCTGACGCTCTGACGCTCTGACGCTCTGACACTCTGACGCTCTGACACTCTGACGCTCTGACGCTGCTCTGACGCTGCTCTGACACTCTGACGCTGCTCTGACGCTCTGACGCTCTGACGCTCTGACGCTGCTCTGACACTCTGACGCTGCTCTGACACTCTGACGCTGCTCTGACGCTGCTCTGACACTCTGACGCTGCTCTGACGCTCTGACGCTGCTCTGACGCTGCTCTGACGCTGCTCTGACGCTGCTCTGACGCTCTGACGCTGCTCTGACGCTGCTCTGACGCTCTGACGCTCTGACACTCTGACGCTGCTCTGACGCTGCTCTGACGCTCTGACGCTCTGACACTCTGACGCTGCTCTGACGCTCTGACGCTGCTCTGACGCTCTGACACTCTGACGCTGCTCTGACGCTCTGACGCTGCTCTGACGCTCTGACGCTGCTCTGACGCTGCTCTGACGCTCTGACGCTCTGACGCTGCTCTGACGCTCTGACGCTTTAGTGTTTAAACGGTGTCGTCGTGTCTTCCAGGAGAGAAAGAGACGTTTGACAAGCTGATGAAGAAATGTCTTCTGGACACTTTCAGACAGACGGATGAAGATTTCCTGAAGAAAGCGTCGAGCCAGTAAGACGACGCAGCCTCACAGCGAGCAGCAGGCGGGATCATACACTTCAACATATCATTACTCAGAGTTTCACTAGTGTTTGTCTAAGTGAACACAGCAGGATATAATCAGGAAAATTCACCTTGTACTGACTATTTGTCCAAAAACTAAAAAAAAGTAAATAAACTAATATCAAACATAATCAAATGAGCACTGATGCATCATGGGGGATGTGATGTACACAGGAGACCTGGCTCCAGCAGCCTCTCATAGGCCCACCCAGGTGCATGCTGGTCCTCTACCTGCCTCTTACTTAAATAACCTCTGGTGCCCACAGTGTTACCAAATACTAATGCAAAACTAAATTTACTAAACAAACAACAAAAGAGAATACTACCCAAAATCTATTTGAAATAAAGAAAACGTGTCGAATAATTACATAAACAACAACACCCAAATATTAGTCAACTAAATACCAAAACTAATTCTAACAACAATTAACTAGCTCCAACACACCTGGAGTGAGTAGGAGGGGGTGGTGACGTTTATTCCCTGAGACCATAGACTGTCTGCACGCCATGAAACTGAAACTGAAACTTGATGATTTGTTTTCAATCCCTCTGATCTACAGCATCAGATCTTTGAGATTTTTTCATTCATTTAAAATTTCAGTTTGAATAAAATGACCGTTCTGTATCCGTGTTGTTAAACAGGAAGCCGGCGTGGAAGGACGGCTCGACGGCGACCTGCGTGCTGGTGGTGGACGACACGGTGTACGTGGCCAACCTGGGAGACAGCAGGGTGGGATTCTGTTTATGTCATCACGTTACATGAAAACCTCAGTCAGACGTGTGAAAGACGACGTGGTGTCTCTGTGTGTGTGTGTGTGTGTGTGTGTGTGTGTGTGCAGGCGGTGCTGTGTCGGGCGGAGGCGGCGGCGGGAGCAGACGGAGAGAAGAGGTCGCTGACTTTGTCTCTGAGCAGAGAACACAACCCGACCATCTACGAGGAGAGGATGAGGATCCAGAGAGCCGGAGGAACCGTCAGGTATCAGGAGACGAGAAAATATCAAACAAGTTAGTGAAAACATCCTGATTATTCATGTGTGTGTGTGTGTGTGTGTGTGTGTGTGTGTGTGTGTGTGTGTGTGTGTGTGTGTGTGTGTGTGTGTGTGTGTGTGTGTGTGTGTGTGTGTGTGTGTGTGTGTGTGTGTGTTTCAGGGACGGCAGGGTGCTGGGTGTCCTCGAGGTGTCTCGTTCTATCGGTGACGGTCAGTATAAACGCTGTGGAATCATTTCCACCCCCGACCTGAGGAGGGTTCAGCTCACAGCCAATGACAGGCAAGAACACGCCCTCTAAGCTCTGATTGGTTAGAGGGTGTTTATCTCACCTCGGTTAATGAAAACATGGCTGCTGCTGTTTGTTGCAGAAGCTTCCTGTTGATGTTTATCTTCTCTCTGCAGGTTCATCATCCTCGCCTGTGACGGTTTGTTCAAAGTGTTTTCTGCTGATGAAGCCGTGAAGTTCGTCCTCAACGTCCTGCAGGTTTCTCTCTTTTCTTAATGTCATGACATGAAGCAGAAAATACAGACTTCCTCTTTGTGCCCCCTAGGCATCATGGGAACTGTAGTTTCATCTGTGTGTGTCCTACCCCCCCCATGCAGGAGGGGAGTGTGGAGCAGAAGGAGGCGCTGACGGAGGAGGAGCTGCGGTTTGACGCCGCCTGCCAACAGTTGGCGAGTGAGGCTGTGAGGCGGGGCTGTGCCGACAACGTCACTGTGATCCTGCTCTCTATCACGTTCTGAAGATATACATCAACACACACTTAAAGTTCTTCATGAAAACACACACACTGACACACACACACACACTCTGACACACACACACACACACGCACACACACACACACACACACACACACACACACACACACACACACACACACACACACACACACACACACACACACACACACTGATACACACACACACACACACACACACACACACACACACTGATACACACACACACACACACACACACACACTGATACACTGAGCGTCTCCTGGTTGTCTTTTCTGTTTTACAATAAAAAGTTTTTTTTAATCTCTGCTGTTGAAATGATTTATTCACCTGTTTGTTGTTTTCAATGTTGAATTTCTTCAGCTTAGATCACAAAAGGTTTAAAGTGTTCAAAACAAAGTGTGTGTGTGTGTGTGTGTGTGTGTGTGTCAGTGTGTGTGTGTGTGTGTGTGTTACAAAATGATGAATAACAACAAATTCAATAAATCGTAGCAGCACACAGATCATTTTTAAAGCTCCTCCTACAAAATGATGTCTCAAGCTAAGTTGTGAGTTTGCCTGGGGGGGCGTTTACAAAAATACAATAAAGTGACTCCATTATCTTGACTCTATTTGTCAGTTTTGTTATTTTTGTGTTCATTTTCTGTTTTTCATTATTTCTTTTCGTGCTCTGAATGTTCTTAATATTCTAATAATCTGTTAACCATGTAAAGCCTTTTAAATGGCTCTACGTTTTGATGTTACCTTGCCACCTTGCTACCTTGCCACCTTGCTGTGCAGATAAATAACTGTCCCCTGCAGTACCACCCCGGACCGCCAGGTGTCGCTGTTCCCCCACCATTTGGATGGGAGCCAAAACCACCCGGACATTAGGCGGAAACAGTCAGTCAATGAGCAACAACAGCCGCGGGCTGCAGGATGCTCAGACAGCTGTTACATTAACAAACACACCCAACATCGATTCATTGACGTTTTCATAAAAAGAGCGTCAACATGCGTGACGGGCAGGAGCGCGTGCACGACAGCTGATCGATCAGCTGTTTGGGAAAATATCGATTAGGCTGTTTTGAAGACGTTTTAAAACATGGACTCACTGCTAGACTTTGAGGAGTGTGTCAAAGACTCTCCTGAGTTCAGGTGAGTCAAAAAATACATGATGCGTCTTCAAACCGCGCATGTGCAGAAGTTGTGATGATGACTGTGTTATTGATGTGTTCAGGATGAAGCTGCAGCTGTTTGAGGCAGATGTGTCCGAGCTGGAGACTCAACTGGAGAAGGTACAAAAACTTCTGCTTTCAAGAGAAGCTTTAATTACTGCAGATGTTCCTGTTCTTTATTAAAGGACCAATCAGAGAGCTGTGTAGAGAGTGAGATGATAAAGGTATCTTACTCTCTGATCATTAAGGAAACATGCTATGTTGAAGTGCTGGCTTCTCTGACAACAATGCAGCAGCCAGTATGTCCTCCTTCTAACTTTAGATTCTGCTCCTGAATGCTCTGGATTTGTTTGGACCAGAGAAGGTAGGCGCTTTTAAGACACGCCCCCACACGGCCGTTTTGGACGCCCCTCGGTTTGTCAGATATGAGAGCAGTTATCAGGTCAACAGGTGTTGCAGCGATGGAAGCTGTCAAGAGAAGTGGTTCAGATAGAAGTGATTGTACCCGACCTAAAAAGCCTCTGCATGTTTCTAATAAGCTCCACGAGCAGAAACGTGCTCAAACTAGGATCAATATTGGAGATGCTTTTGAAAAATGGAGAGAGGTTAGAACACAGAAAGGTTTACAGACCCATGCAGAGCTGGAGAAACACTGAAGCTTCAGAGTCCACCAC